GTAGGCTCTTTGTGGGTTGTTGGAAGACTCAAATAGCATGATACTTATCACGCTGAGTGGTGTGCCGAAGGTAAGGGACTATGGGTAGCGCCCACGGGTCCCGCCACCGACACAGCTCTACGTGGGAGCGTCGTAGACCCCGTAAGTTCGCAATCAAGACAGATAGAACTTAACCGGAGGACACCTGATGTCTACGGGTGCTTGCATAGTTCATAGCACATGGGAAGAGAGTCATTTAGTTAGCTTTCCTAGGAGTCTCGACAGTTAGCCAATGACGAGACACCGATGCGCAGAGGTTTTCACTCCGGCAGGTGTATTGGTAAACACCTCGCAGAAACCAATGTGCATATGGGAGATTTCTGCTAGAGTGCGCTGACACCTTAGGCCCTTCGGGGATGCGGTAATGGTGCCGGCAACCCTTACGGAGAAGGGCATACTCATGTTGGTCGGGGCAACCTGATGGGGGAGTTTTTGGTATAAGTCTGACTACTTCAAGCTTATACGAGAACTCTCCTGCCCCGACAGAATCAATATCCTCTCGAGAGACTTTAATTGAGATAAGCCAGAGCTTAACGATATTAAGTTTTACCGTTTACTTTTATTCTTTACACTTTACAAGAGTTGTGTTCGAGAGATTCAAAGTTTGGTGCGGTCGCATCCTTAGGAACCATCTACCTGAGGGAGCCCCCGTTACATTAAGACAGAGAAAAGACCCGTCATCTAAATAGTAGTGTAACCGGAACTGGAGTTCAGTCCGTTCGGTTCAAGGATTTGTTTTATGTTTTGTTTTATTTGTGGTTTCGAGTATCCTTTGATACTCAGTTTGTTTTACTTGTGGTTTCAAGTATCCTTTGATACTCAGTTTGTTTTACTTGTGGTTTCGAGTATCCTTTGATACTCAGTTTGTTTTATTTCTAGTTTCGAGTATCCTTTGATACTCAGTTTGTTTTACTTGTAATTTCGAGTATCCTTTGATACTCAGTTTGTTTTATAGTTTTATTGAGTATGATTTGGAAATCCATCCATGTAGGACATGGACGAAGTTTTGTATTTAAAGACCCGCTGATTCCCTCAGAGAAACAGCAGACTTTGACGGACAAAGTATTTTTAATATACTTGGTTGAATGGTTACCTCTTCAAGTCTCTATTCTTTATATCTTTTACTCGAAGCCTCCCTTAGCGCAGTACGCCTATAGGTTGTAGATCAACTTGTGCGCTACTCCTATTTTACCCCAGAGGCGTGACTAGCATCCCAGTGCGAACACGTTACAAGTAGTTTGATATATTCAATTAATCAACATCAAGTCTACTACTCTAATCACCATGCCAGCAACTTATAACTGGGACTCTTTTCGCGATACTTTAGCTGAACTCTATCTTATTGAAGGACTTCCTTTAAAGCAAGTTATGGAAATTATGACAGAGAAACATGCTTTCTCACCAAGGTATAATTTATTGAATTCAGTATTACTTAAGTAGTATACTAATTGATAAAAGTATGCGTGCATACAGAGATAGATTTTCTCAATGGGAGTTTACAAAGCGACAAGTATCTCTCCATAAGGATCTTATTCTAGTTGCAAAGGTGCGGGAGCTATGGACTCAAAATATGAATTCTGCAAATATATTACGATGCCTCTCTGTCCATGGCTGGAATCTATCTGCTATCCAGCTCAGAAATCTTCAACTACATACCTCTCTCCGGCTTCTTATGGGTACTCCAAATGGAGAAGATATGAAGTTTGAGGCAGCTGTTCGAGCAGAAAATTTGGTCCGAGATCAACTAATATCTGGACAATCTATAAGATATGGTCGAGAATATACCCTTAATAATATTCGTTTAAGCGGTGTATTCATTTCACAGTATGTTCTCTTTTTATCCTATTTATTAAATTTATAGTGTTATAAGTATAAGTATATTAATATAAAATGAAATAGAAAGCAGGTTCGCGACGCATTACAAAAGGTTGATCCTGAAGGTGTTGCGGATCGAAGAAAAGCTTTTGCCATCTCCCGCCGAAGGAAAGAGTATTTTGTAAAAGGACCAAATAGAGTGGTATCTATTGACGGACATGATAAGCTTTCAAGATTTGGATTTGAGATTTATGGAGCAATTGACACATATTCCCGCTATATTATATGGTGCTATATTGGAATTTCAAATCGGACTGCAGTATCAGTCAATAAACAATATCTTCGACTTATCCGCAATACCCTTCATGTGCCTAAACTTATTCGCTCTGATAAAGGTATATTAATATTTTCTTCTTTCATTTAAGTTTAATATATAAGCTAATTTAGCTCTTTATATTTAATATAGG